TCAAAAGATCATTAGGGGATACTACGAGCAACTATATGTCAATAAACTGGAAAATCTAGAGGAAATGGATGAAATCCTAGACACATACAATCTACCAAGAACGAACCATGAAGAAATTCAAAACCTAAACAGACCAAGAAGAAGCAACAAGATTGAAGGCATTAAAAAAAAGGATTCTAGTATGAAAAGCCTGGGATCCAATGGCTTCACTACTGAGTTCTACCAAGCATTTAAAGTAGAATTAATACCAATCCTATGCAAACTATGCTGAAAAAAAAAAAAAAAAGGAGCCAAAACATTTCGAAACTTATTCTATTTAAGTGGCATCATTCATCTGGGATAATACCCAAGGTTCCTTGTCTCATGCCAAGAAAACCGAAGACGTAGACACACAAGGAATGAAGTTAAGAGTAGAGGTTTAATAGAAAAAAGAAAGAAGAAAGCTCTTTCCTGTAGAGAGAGGTGTCTCAAGCAGGTTTTCTGGTCCATGGTGAAGCACAAGAGGTTTTTTAGATGAGCTTGAGGAGGAGGGGTTTGATTTAAATAGGGCAGGAAAGGTTGGTTGGACCAGGTTTGCCATTTGCATAACGTGAAAATCTGACCACCCCCACTGTAATATTTTATTATGAAGATGTGTTCTCTAGTGGCAGGTGCCATGTTGCTTGTTCCTTTACTGTATATGTGGTGACAAAGAAAAGGGAAGATGAGCCTCCATGTTGATCACATCTGGCTCCCAGATAATCCTTTTCTACTGGCACAGCTGCTGGCATTCAGGCTGAGTACATAGCTTTATCTGTTCACAACCTAGGTGCATCACCTCTTGATAGCATTCTTCTCCATTACAGAAACCTCTACCAAACAACTTTTCTGGTTTGCCCTTAAAGTTGACATAGTTAGGTTATGAATTGCTTAGTCTTGCCTGTTTACTTCTTTTGTAAATGCTTTTTCTCAGAACAATGTTTCTCAGAACAATATTATTCACCTAATGTGAGCTCAGCCTATGCTACACTTCAGCCTCCACCAGCTGTCTTTTCCCGGGACGCTGCCTTCTGGGGTTGCCTCTCATACAGCCATAAGGCTTAAAAACTGCAGATTTCTTCTCAATATGTTACATATTTCACCCAATGCCTTCCATGAAGTAATTTGCTTAACATATTTTAGTTTTAATTATAAACTTCTTCAATAAAAATAAAACTTCCTTCAGAGCACATTGCCAAAGAGAAAACATATTATTTTTCAGATCACATATTCAATTTATACTTCTGGTGCTGGGCACTTCACTACTTTCCTTTATATTTTAGTTTACTATTCATAAAGTAGAAGTTTGAGTAAGACTATTTTAAGGGTGGTATTAATCAAAACTGGGGAAGTGTTCATGACTCTTCACATAGATAGATATGTGGAGTTAAAACTCCCATGATTAATATTTACCTTTAGAAATTTTCATTGATTAGGTATTACTACCACTGCCTGAAATGTTGAATTTGCATATTTATGTTTCCAAAATTTGCTTACCAACAAATTTAATTACTACAATGTATTGAAGAGCCAAAGCAACAGAAAATCATGCAATGAAAAACACATATTAAGGTATACCCAAAGTACATTACATATAGCTAAACTCTGAAAGAAATATTCAAAATAGATTCCATAGATTTAATATTTAATATGCAATGCTTTCAGTAAAATCATAAACATTATACAATCTATATGAGAAAATATTTCACCTTGAGCAGGATGCCACTCTCAAAGGCAGATTGTTATACACTAAGAAGAAAACATTGTTATGTGTTACTATTTGAAGTGTCACAATAAATATTTGAAGAAATGTATCACTGTACTCATTTTTTTTTTCTGAAACCTATGAATGCCTTAATATATCAGGAAAGATGCAATCTATTAAAGAATGTCATTAGGACAAATATACAGAAAATGGAATCAGACACTAAATCTGATATTGCTTATTTTAACAACATTGCAAATATTTTATCTAATTAATATGTAGGTTAATCAGCTGAGGTATTGACTAGAACACCAATCCAGTGGAATCTGTTATATATCATTATTCACATGCAGAAAGTCTGCACCAATTGTTAGCTTGTGTGGCCATTTAATTAGAATTTCCACAAATATTTATTTGGAATGTATTGAGGTGATTTTCTAATTTAATTCAATGTTACAGTGAATATTGAATATTAGTAATGTATCTTATAATGAAGTAATTTTTTATTCACCAAAATTACTATTTTTAATGGATAACTATTTCCAATTCAACTCATTTTTACTTTTTATTTTTATTCTAAAGCCTCTTCATTCCTTTTGGTGTCTGTGTTTTCATGAGTATTTGAGTGTCCGCTTGCTACCTAGTGTGCTTATGCCAGTTTTCCATTTTAGGGTTTTAAGGTGGAGTTAAGCTGGACTGATAGAAATAATTGAGGAGTTCTTTTTTTCCCATTATTGAAAAATTAATATAGCACTATAATTATCTTCATTGTCTAATTTAAGATATATCTGACACCTGACTTTATCTCAGTTTTGAAGTATATTTCTTCTGTTCATGTTTAAAATTGTTTTCTTTACTTGTTTCTCTATTCACCTGAACCATGAGTTCTTGTCTACCAAATCAGTAGAACATGAGGTGGTGATAGTTGGAGAAGAAAACACATTTCATTGTACAAAGCAAATATGAAGACATAACTTTCCTTATTGGCTCATAACTATGCAAATTAACCTGAAATAAATGAGACTATTTTTATTAACACCCCAATTGAAATATTATTAAGCCAAATCCTTTTCTAAAGTTCAATGTTAGTTACATTGAAAAATCAACTCCCAATTTTAACAACAACAAAATATTTTATTTACATGACTGTTGTTTTTCTTTTTTTTTGAGACAGAGTCTCGCCCTGTCACCCAGGCTGGAGTGCAGTGATGCGATCTCAGCTCTCTGCAACCTTCGCCTCCCGGGTTCAAGTGATTCCCCTGCCTCAGCCTCCTGAGTAGTTGGGACCACAGGCACATGCCACCACACCCAGCTAATTTTTTTGTATTTTTAGTAGAGACGAGGTTTCACTGTGTTGGTCAGGATGGTCTCGATATCCTGACCTCATGATCTGCCCAACTCGGCCTCCCAAAGTGCTGAGGTTACAGGCATGAGGCACCACACTGGACCAGACTGTTACATTTTTAACTCATGGGCCAGACATTACTTATTACAACTTTAATGTTTGGATGGTTTGAATGTGTCCCCACGAAGTGTGTGTGGGAAACATGATTCCCAATTCAACAGCGTTTGTAGCAGGGGTTTAATGGCAGATATTTAGGTCATAAGAGCTTTTCCAATCAGGTTTCAGCTCTGTGTAGTTGTCTAGAGCTATTATAAAGTCTCACAAACTGGGTATTGCAAATGACAAAAAAAAAGTATTATGTCATATTCAGATAGAGAGATATCTTCATATGTATATGAATGTACCTCTGTCATGTTTATAGTGGTGTGCTTTCTGTATGTGTGTCTGTTTCCAAATTTCCCCTTATTATAATGATAGTCGTATTTGATTAGATACTAATCTAATAAACTTATTTTATCTTATCTCTTTAAAGACCTTAGTCTAAGATAAGATGATAATCTGAGATCTGAGATAACCGCAGGTTAGGACAGCACTGTATGAGATTTTGGGGGACACAATTCAACCTATAATACTTCAATCTTTTAAAGACCAATTCTATTTTCTCTTTATTTTAAATATGTAATCCTGGAATAACAACTGAAATTTATTTGGTTTGTTAAGGCCCTTCAATCTTGTTTAATTATAGACTTCAAATTTTATCCACTCCATCACTGAGATTACCAGATCAGCTCATCTCTTAGCCATTTGACAGGCCTTTTTCTCTTGACTTCTCTGCCAACTAGCATAAACTGATAAGAATCAGCAAATGTGCCTCAAGGAGAAAATTGCTCAAAATATTGGTTTACTTCTCTATGATTATCTTCTGTAACTTTTGGCCCCTTATATTCTAGATGCCTTGGTATATTGAATTACCATTTTGTGTTAACAGCCATGTGAGGCAGCTGGTAGCACTTTTCGTGTTATCTGACTTGTAACCGATCACTTTGTCAACATTTCAAAGTCATCCATGCTACTTAAGAACTGGCAAATCTTGGAGTAAAGAAAGTGAAATAATCTATTGGGCTCATGAAAATGACTTCCTTTTCTTCATGGGTGTGACCTCTCATATTACGGCTGCCTTGATACGTTGAACTGATTTTTTTTTTTTTTTTTTTTTTTATCCAAGTTTTCTCATTGTCTCAGAGAGGAGTAGTCTGAACCAAGCCAGCCTGCCATAGCCAAAAACAGAAATTGACCTTTCATTTTTAGTTTTCTCCTACTTCCTGTATAAAATAACCTCTATTCCTCAATTTATTCCAATGTATTTTATTTATTTTCTTTTACCCTTTAAAATCAATTTTCTATTTTAAGACATAAATTAGCTCTGTTAGAAGTTGCATATTGTCACATTAAGCTAATAGTTTTTTCTGGGCATAGAGTCTCTGTGATCTTCTAGTTATTTAACCTATCTATGCTTTCAGATATTTTGTCAATCTTGTCAGCTAGAGGTAATAACTGCATCATCCACCTGTCTCATCATGAATATTAAGTGATTTAACGTATGCGAAATTTTATGGCACTTTGTAAGCGTTAAATAAATTTTAGATACTATTGGTATATTTCATGAACTTTTACATTCCTTCTAACAAATAATAGTTCACATGGGTATGTTAAATGTTATATTTATCAATTTTACACTATGAATGATAATTTAGAAATATAAAAACTTCTGGCAGAACTATATTATAAAGACTATGGTCAGTCATTTTTATTCTATTTTACTCTTTAAAGAAAGTAAGCGATTGACGATCCAAGATGGCCATTTAGGAACAGCTCAGGATTGCAGCTCCCAGTGAAAGTGCAGAGGGTGAGTGGACGCCACGTTTTTATTGCCCACAGACTAGGAAATTCCCGGGCGGAGGTGCTCCATGGTCGCCAGTGTGGCTGTGCTGGCCAGCGCCGCTGCTTTGCCCCGCGCGGCTGCTTTGTCGGCGCCCCGGAGCCACGGTTCTCCGTACAAAAAACACCGATCTGGGGGCCCTTTTGGCTGGTGATTGGAGCCACGGGAAGTCACCCATACGCCGGTTCAAAAAGGGGACTGAGCGAGAACCAGGACAGTAGATTCCAGGGCAAAAAGAAAAAAAAAGCACCACAAACCTCAGTGCCGCTGTTTACCAGCGCAGTGAGTGGCCGCAGGGGAAAACAAACAGACCCCGGCGCCTCTTCAACAGGCGACTGGAACACCAACTTAAAAAAGGCTCTGAGGCAGGGAGCCAGGCGATCAGGATCGGCTGGTCCCACACCCACAAAAGAACAGCAACCAGAAACTCTGGATTGAGAGTTTCACAGCAAGTGCAGCTGAACCCAGGATGGTCCAGCTCTGTGGGGGAGGGGCGTCCGCCATTACCTAGGCAGCCCGCCGTTGCCAAGGCAACCCACCATTGCTGAGGCAGCCCGCCGTTGCCAAGGCAACCCGCCACAACAGAGACTCCGCCCCAACAGAGGCGGGCCACCATCGCCAAAGCAGTTCTAACTACACCCATATAAACAGGACTGCAGGGAAGTTCACT